GTGGGTGTACCTTTGTTGTTCGGTAAGATCTAACAAGATCTGTATGCCCTATATACTACGGGTAAATTAGCAAGTCTGCGGAAGTGTTGAACGGTCTCAATACAACGCTATTAGCTTTTAGCAAATGAAATGTGTGAATAGTAATGAATTGACTACCATTGTTCGCAATAAAAGAAAACAAAATCTTGTTATTTTTCTTCCACTTTTCTTTATTGCTCTTATTAAGAAAAATTTGTGCGAATGTAGCAACATTGTTTTTCCGGGCAATTACGAATTACGAACGAATTATTGCCTCCCTTTTTAAGGATAATTTTCTATTGCTCTAGGAATTTGTTCCCTCGCCTCCAGATTGAATTTTACTTTTTTTATTCTATAAATTTTTTGTCATCGTCGTTTCGGCTATTAATTGTACACTGTTGAAGCTATCTTCAGCAGTGTAATGGCCACCGATTACATGATTCACAATTTATGAAGGAAGACATATGGATTCCCACATAGAGCCACCTGCATACATTGACTTTCTTTTCTGGCCCCGCAGACAGTAGACAGCAGACAAGCAAACCCATTGATGGAATCGATATCCATCGGCAAATTCATGAGATAAAACATCGGACGTTGTTATGTCATTCTACTCGTATGTCATAGACCCGCTAGCAATATCGATTTCATCGATGCAATGGTTTGTCATTTGTCTAAACGGCTTGGAACATATTTGACATCATTTAGTATAGGATTGTTATAGATTGAGATTGCCTCACTACTATTACTATGTACTACATATATTTTATTTTCAGAAACTTCGTTATGTAGGTATTATAACAAATGTAAACAAACGTTTGACTCATACAAAATGCTGAATGTTTCATAAGCTAAACATTCTGGTTAAATATATATTGAAGTTATCATAACAACGTGGCTATTATATAAGAAATGCGCACGTTTAACGATAGTACAGTAATATTATACCCGTATGTTTATATATTATTACAGTATAGTACACATTATTATGATTAAAATACGTTTTTTTATACAACTTAGAATGGCAAACAAGCTGATGGCCCACCTGATGGAAAGTGGTAACCGTCACCTATAGACATGAGCAGTTCCATGGACATAACAGAGTATCATGTTTCGCCCATACGTTGCCATTCCTGAGGACTTAGGTATTATTCCTCTGTACCCAGTAAATTCACGCCTTACCTTCACGTTTATACCAAAATACACACTATAAAGAATTCTAATATAAAAAATAAAGATGCTTCTTTATGAAAATATATTTATTTGTATGTATGTATACCTATATATATGTGTATGTATGTGTAGGTATATATTTACGTGTATATAATATAAATAGTTATATATAAACTTAAGTTTGTCTATATCTTCTTGTTTGAAAATTGTCACAATATTCTACACTGCTCTACCCGTTGACAGTATGCTCCTTTTCACTTTAAGTTTGCTGGAAGAGAATTCTTTTAGAGTTAGGACCACCTTTGTTACCTTTTGTTTGCTTACCTCTGACTTATTTGTTATATATTACTAGTTTGTACAATAAAGTATAGAAAAATAAATAAAAAATTTGATTGTTATTAATGGATAAACTTAAAAATTACTTAACCGATTTTAAAAATTCTTTCACTTATAAAAAGCTACATTATCAACGAGTAAGATAGGCTATATATTATTTTCGAAATATCTGTCGGATTCGGCGAAGCCGGGCCGAATTGCTAGTATTATATAAAAGGAAACTACTTGAGTGCCTCTTTCTTTTTGAAGTTGGTTGTAAACGACGTATGTGACAATGTTGTACTGTACCATACAGATAATTTATTGGTTATACATTTAAAAAGAAGTTTAAACAAATTGTCTATTTTTTGTTTCTTAAGAATATAAAAATCTTAATATTAATATCTTTAAAATGATAACGACGGTGCTCTGTTACCTTAAATAGTTTCTGTGTGGGAAGATAGGGTCATGTTCTCAACGAATTACATCATAAATTTATAAATTAGCTTAATTTGACCGTCAGCATTTGAAAGTTTCAAACTTAAATTCTTATTGTATATCCAAAATAGCTATATAATATATACCTTGCACATAAAGATAAAAAAAAGATAGAAAATTGGAAACTGTAAAGCCTTTGTTATATTTTTTTTAATAATTATCAAATTTAAATTTTTTCTGAACATTAATCAAAGGGATCTCTAAGTTACCTCATTAATTATATACTTACCATATATTTATAAGTTTTTTTTATACAAATTTGATGTGAATCGTGTATGGAATCCGATACCGTAAGCCTATAATTAGTACACAACTATAATAAGAATTCACCGTGTGTGTCCCGGCATCGAACGAACTACCACTTTCTTTCCGTCGGTGTCGTAAGAGACGACTAGTTGAGGGATGGGCAGTAGCGTTTTTCTTTAAACATCACCAGAACCTAACTGCGGTTGCATATCCACCTGTCAAGCGTGGCAACTACTGGTAGAACTCCTCAATAGGGGGAGGCCTATGTTCAGCAAAAGACAGTGAACGGCTGATATAATGATGATGATGATGACGATGACATAATTAGAACAAGCAGGTGCCATAACATGACTGTACATAATTACTTTATTTATCTTTATTGTACTTTGTTGTATCGTATATGTTATTTAATAAAAAGTACATTATTATATTTACAACTCTATAAGGTACAGTTAACAGAATATTATAGATTTCGTTTTATGTCTCGAGTGCTACCTTTCGAATGGTGGCCCCACTGAAAATCAACGCTGCAGCTTAAGCTGAGTGGCTACAACAGCTTGCGGGCATAATGTGTTCACTACTGAACATAGGTCTCCCCCATAGACTGCCATAAGGAACGGGATCATTCCTTATGGCAGATTACCATTGGGATTTTGCCAGTAAATATCACGCTTAGCAGGCAAGCTGGCAACCGCAGTTTGATTTTTTAAATGTATAGGTAAAAAATAATATATAAATGTTTTAAGAATAAAGACTCGTTAATATGTTTTGTTCAGCTATTCATTATTATTATAAAAAATATGTAGTTGAATATTTAACTTGTTTTCCGGCATTTGTATATGTTCCAATATTTTTGGATGGTTCTTAATTAAACAAATTATAGGAAAGTCATTTCCATAATATACCGCTAGTGAAGTAGACGGAATTCTTTGGCTCGTTACCTCTATGGCATTGACTACTTTACACCAACTTTCTCTCTTTGTCGACACTAGATTTATTAATAGGTAATTTATGGTTATGTTTTATGGTTCGTGGCCTACAGCAATGGAGTCTTCTTCGCTTCTGAGGTGCCAATTGTCTAAACCTTTCTCTAAAATTAATATTTCAATTTAATATCACAGCAAAATCTTTATTATAAGAACCAATATGAACTATTTTAAATTTCTATATTTATTTTTTTAATAAATTTAATTACCATCATATACCTTAATTATTTATATTAAAATATGAATACTTAATTTAATTTTTTTAAACCACCATCGAGTATCTCAGCGCATGCTAAAGGTTTACTAGTAGAGAATTAGGTCCGCCTTCTGTACCACATTTTATTGGTCAATAAAGTTTAAATAAATATATAAAATTTAAGCCAAAATCAGCCTCCTTGTCTTTTTGTGTACGTGTATACCTAGTCCTTTTTTTTTTAAATATTCAAAGCAAGTGGTCGATATGTCTCATTCATAAATGCCAAGGTATTTTTGTGTATATACGCTATTATAGCATAATATATAAAAAGAAATTGGTCAACAGTAATTCCAAATTGGCTGTCTTTGACAAAGATACAAGCAAATATATTTTTCTACGCAAAATCAACAACTTTGATCGTGAAAACATAAATATACGAATTTAAAATCACATCTTCTTTAATTTTTATATAGCTGTGCGTGCATTATGCTATTACTGTATTTATTTATTATGCTTAACGCCAACACCAGATCAAGGTGTTTCTAATTTGATAAACAATCAGCAATCTCACAGGTTCACACGGATTGTGTATGCTAGTAAATATTACTTAACATAATTTGTATGAATATTCAAGTTTAACGTAGAAATATTACTTCACACTTTAAAAGTATTTTACATATTTATCTATTACAACATTCGTTTTTAACTAACTTCAGAATAAAGGAGGTTTTCAATTTTGTTGTGTCTTTTTTATATTTGTTGTAACTCCACCAAATCTAAACCGATTTGAAAAATTCTTTTTTTATCCGAATGGCCATACTTACAGATTGGTTTTATAGAAATTTTATAAGAATCGGTTCAATAGTGTAGTTTTTAGATCAAAATAACTGGTTTTGTCACAATTGAAGACTGTTTTTTTATAGGACACAATCTTTAATTATTTAAAATTAATTTGATTATGATTACTTATTACTAATTTATAATCAATCATAACAAGGAAATTAAAAATATACATATCTAGCCTTTTACCTGCTAATACGTACGTGTAGATTTCAGAAGTAAGTAAGTAAAACAATAACATAGATTACTTTTAGATACGTATCAAGATGAAACAAATATCAGTTTTTAAGTTAGAACTCCAGGAATGCAACTGTGATAACTGCATCCAATTTCGTGCACTAGTTTTTGTTTGATGCAGGAAGGAAAATGCAAACAAAAAAAAAATCTAAAACTTATTGTTTTGGTTTCTGTTGGTTTTATATATACCAATAAAGGATGATAGGTGAGAATGAAAAGGCAGTTAGCCCATTGTGATGAATACACTTGAAATTCAGTTCAATGATTTCCAGGTGGACTACATGGAGGTCGATCTGATAGGAATATTGCTAGCAATTAGACTAGCAGTTCACATTTCTAATCTAAATCCGCCCCCCCCCCCCCTATACTATTGTAGAAACAATAATTTGTTAATAGGGCGAATAGTATATTAGTAATGGGGATTAGTAGCCCCATTGCTAGCAATATACCCTGTCGGGTCGACCTCCTCGTGATTCCTGGAAACCATCGTGATTAGAGATGGGCAATCCACCTGGGTGGGTTTAAAGTCTGGTGGGTAAAAACCGGGTGTTTTGGGTTTATTGGGTTTAAACCCCATAAACACCCAAATTTTTGGGTGTTTATGATTTTGTACTTCATCATCGTCATCTCAGCCGCAAGACGTCCACTATACTGGACATAGACAATATTATTATGCAGCCTACAGAATAAAAAACTTTTAATTTGATTTTGAGTTTATTAAGAAAGAGATGAAAGTAAAATGTAAAACTACAGTCAATCACTGTCAGATTCAGAGTTATTACAAGCGATGAATTGTATAGGTTCGATAGGCTCTATTTCGTCTAAACTGTTATGTTCATTTACTTGCTCAATGAAAGCTTCTAAGGTATTTTCTTCATTAAACTGAATGTCCTCGCATTCAGCTTTATGTTTAAGATTCCAGTTATAACAAATGAATGAAATTTTTTCAGTTCTTTCAGTTGTAAGTCGATTTCTTTTGTTATTATGTATGTAGCCTTGGATACTAAAGGAACGCTCAGTGGCTGCCGAAGTACAGGGAGCTGATAGAATACGAATCGCTACTTTGCTTAACTCAGTGGAACCACAAATACCTTTCCACCATATTAGGGGCTCAATGCTATCTAATGAGCTCCATACAAATCCTCTGGCCCAAAAGTTTTCTTTAGCTTTATAACACGCCAAATCTGCCATTACATTTGACAAACTTAAGTGTTGGCTTAAATTGTAGATAAACTCCATACCCTTAAGTTCTTCCTCTTGAGTAAGTTCGACTCCTAGAGTCCTGGGGTCTAGAATATATGCTGCAAAATGTATTGGCCTCATTGCCATATTGCATCTTGAAGATACTGATGTTAGAATCTGCTGTTTGCTTTCTTCGCTCAATGTCGAAATCTCATTTAATGCAAAACGTATCTTAGCTTGTACATCTCTAAATGTAATGTATGTGCGATGCAAACGATTCTGGTCGCTCTCTAAGTAAAATATGCTTTCAGTGACTGGTTCCAAAATACTTATACATTCCCCTGTCTTCGTCCAGAAATCATCACTTAGAATTAAATCTTTAATATCTCTTGAAATTACCACATCTTCTCTAACTGTTAATATTTGCAAAGCTATCTTATTTGCTTTCAAACTTTTTAACGAAGTAACATGACTTCCCCATCTTGTAGCACAAGGCAATTTTAGTGTTTGTGTAGAATCTTCACCCTGCCTTGATTTTATCAACAAGGAACTTAATCGTTGACTCCTTTTAACAGTTTTTATTATATTTATGGCTTGCATAATAAACACAGTTACTTCTTGTATCTTTACAATATCTTGGCACAACAAGTTAAGGATATGTGCACAGCAACCGAGAGGAACAACATGTGGATATTTGAGTTTTGTTAATTCGAATGCCTTTTGTATATTTCTAGCGTTATCGCCAATAAGTACAAGAAACTTATTTGCTCCATACACTTTCATTACTTTTTCAACTTCTTGGCTAAGGTATTCACTAGTGTGAGGATTACTTTCTGTATTCAAACTTTTAACGTATGCAGGTTGAGGTTTTGATATAAGAAAGTTTATTATTCCTTCATTTCTTAAATTAGACCAGCCATCGCACTGAAGGTGTAAGTAACTACAAGCATTTAGTTCCTCATTTAACTCAAAACGCATTTCTCTATATATTTTATCTAAGTATTTTGTCGCTAAAGCTTTACGTGAAGGTATTTTAAATTTTGGTTGCAATTTTTCGAAAAATTGTATCCATAAAGGATGTTGCACCATCGATAATGGCGTCCCTGTTACAAATATAGCTCTCGCTAATTCTGTTTTTATATGATCATCGGTGTCTTGAAACTCAGCATTTATTGTAGTGTTAGCAGACGACGAGGGGCTTATAAAAGAATCATTTGTCTCTATCTCTGACAGTCCAGACATTTTGGTTTTGGACGAGCTATCTTTTATAAGTTTCATAGAGTCTTTTAATGTTTCTGGAGATTTTGGACAAGTGATAAGATGTTGAAGCATTTTGGCAGCATTACTGAATTTGTAGACCTTATTACAAAGCTTGCAAGAAACAGACTTGTTTGGTAAAGTACGGTAGTGCTCCCATATGCGTAAATCTTTAGGTCTCCCCATTGAACCTAAAAAATGAACGATGATTAGTTGGTCTGACGAAAATTCAACAATAGAGTGCCTATTTTTTTACAATGATTATTTCTTGTTATTTACAATAAATTTATTAAAAAAATAATAAAATAAATACAAAAAACCTTTGTAAAATTACATCTCCTCGGAGGATTAAACGCAGACGCTAGTTTATTATCGTATTGTTCTGTATTTTTCTCAGCAACTTCTTTAATTCGATTAGGTACTTACGCATATTATGTTAAAAATAAATATCTAGTACACATCTTAGGCTATCCACCATTATTATCCAATGACGACTCTCAGCTAACTATGCACTATCATCCAAAATAAACGTGTATGGAAAATTTTATCCCAGTCGGTTGAGGATTGAGGATAATTGCATCAACATACGAACATACCTACATACTTTTATTTACATAACGCAAGCTAAATAAAAGCTTGTAATAATACATCTAATTTTAAGTTAAAATTGTTAAGTGATCATGATATAATTGTATCATTCAAAAATCCACTTACCTTTAATTATTTCTTGTTAAGTATAAATATTATTTCAAATCTGCTCCCTTAATATGCACTTTTTTACTGCTTTTCCTACCTAACACGTTACCAGGAAGTCACGTTACCAGAGTCAGAGTAATAGTGAACACGTTTGACAGTGATTGTCGTCGCCTCATATTCAGCGTCGACGAATAGGGGAATCCCCAGTCATAATGTATTGCATGCGTGGCGGTCTTACTTCAAATCCATAAACAAAGAGATAATTACAGAACTCGATACTAGATGGCGCTGTTTTTGTTTGAAGAAAGTTTGCGGGCTAAAATACATAGAATTTCATCAATGACTTCCACAAAGAACAACATTTCTGTTTTTTCTAAGTCCGTATCTCTTCCGTATATTTCATAAGATATAAGCTTGGGCTACATTGTTATGCAACGTGATTTTGTCGCTGTCTTGCTAGCAGGGTTGACAGATATACGATTTAAATCGTACTCATACTATTATTTGTCTATTTTTTAATGTACGATCGTAAAGATTATGATCGTAATTCGCACAAAAACATACGACTTTTTGGTTACCTGGCAACATTTTTATTATGAAACGAACATGCTCACATCATCAGTCACATGCAACAATTTATTGGGGATTTCCCCTTCACATCTGGCAGTCCTGCTTGCTAGAATATAGGTAAGTCAGCCACAGTTACTGACGATCGATATTTAAAGGGTATTGTTTTTGTGCTAAATATTTCATAAAAACGTTATTTAATACTTTGTGGATTATTAATTTAGTTGATAATCACTGGAAGTAAAATGGATGCTAATTTGAGAGATCAAGATCTTCGTATAAAACAGTTAATAAAAGAAAATCTACGTAAGTACTCTTTTTATACCTAGGTAGGTAAGGTATAATAAACACAAAAGGTACTTAGATCGCGTGTGTTCGAAGCATTTATTCTAATAAATTTAATTTAAAATTGTAGAAAGAAAAAAATGTCTGCCAAGCCGTAGCCGAAGCCGATCTCCAAATATATTTGGCGATAGTGAGACCCAGTGTCCAGATGATTTACCCAGCGTCGTCGCAACAAAGAAAAAAACGAGGATAAAGTAAAAGAAAATTTACTGAAAGAAGAAACAAACTGTTCTAAATGCTTAATTTATGGAGAAGAGGATAAAAGAAATGAGTATTTCGGACTGTTAGTGGCTCAAGAATTTAAATATATACGGCCATGTGTGCGAACGAGGTGTTATGAAGAAATTTTAAAGTATCTACGGGAAGCAAAAGGCCAACATGTTGATCAACTGCAACATGAAAACACTGAAAATTAATTACTTTCATTTTATTATATATAGATTTTTAAAATTTCCTGAAATATTATTAGTTAACGTTTTATTTAATATTGTAGAATTGATCAATACAATTTATAAAAATAATTTATTGGTATTACTTACATATTTTCAAAAAAATACGTAAAAACCTATTTTTTTGGGTGATTATGGGAGTTTATGGGTGTTTATTGGGTTTTTACCAAAGCACCGGGTTTAAACCCGGTGCTTTGCCCATCTGTAATCGTGATTGATTTATTGTTAGATTCGTCACGGTGGACTAACTGATCTGCTTCATCCTCACCTATCATCCCTCACTGGTGTCCCGCCAGTGTATACCAATAACGCAGGAGTTACCATTCCATTATCATCCATTAAAAAATACCCACTCCACCTGCTATCGTAATACGCTAGCGTGTAACCAGTGGGTAATGATAGACAAGAGTAAAGTTTTTTTTTTTAAGAATACTGTTTTTCTAAATGCTTGGAGGCAATTACATTTCGCTAACGGTACACAAAGCGTAATAATAAATTTGTAGGTTATTTACTTAGTTTGGTCTCAAGTTTTTACGCTTTCATTTAAGTTACAAGTGTTATAATTTTATAATATTTTGATATGATATACAAAATTTTGTTGTTTGCATTGTATGATATATGTAAAGGGGTTTCATTTATCAACATTTATATAATGGTAAGACAGGATGAAGTCGGGTGAATTCACTATGAATTAAACACAATGGCTTCCGCGTAGATGTCAACCTAATTCCTGGGTATATTGCTAGCAACCAATTACTAACAATTGTTTGCTCCCATATCTCCTGCATTTGTATTCGAGCTGTTCACACAACGGTTAGTGATTTGTCAGCACGGATATTGCAAATGTAAAACGGTTAAAAGAAAAGGCATGTGTAAGGTCACCTCTTTGCCAATAACTTAAAAAAGAGTCCCTTTTGTTTTCTAATATCTACATAAAATTTATTTTAAGAACGTATAATTATATTTTTTTTTAATATTTTTTCAGCTTATTTGCCATTCTAAAGATTATAAAAAAAGGTTGACATATGAAAGCTCTAAATACATACCATTATGTATATATACTAACGTAAAATACATATACGCAGTCAATGGACACGACTCATTCACACGGCAGCTGATACGACACTGATTATTTTGTCTCAGTAAACGTCACAATTAGAGACACTCGGGCACACACACAGAGACACTGCGTATAATTGCGCACACTGACAAAGCTCCTTAAGCGTCGTAATCTAAACTTACCTTAGCACAAGTGAACGGACAGGGGAAATTACAGCTTCCTTAGTTTAAACATCAAATATAGCTTTTAATATTACGATTATGCTTACACACGAGTGATATCCCGTCCGCCCAACAACGCATTCCAACGATACCGTGTTACAAACAATTTACATAACAGACCATTAGTGACGCTGTAGACAAATCACCACACAGAGACAGCCGGTTGAGCCTTGCTCTTGACATATGGCTACTTGGCACGCATATTAATAGACCCAAAGTGATTCACATCACTTTAGTTTCCCGAGTCACTTATATGAGACGAACGCGCGATGAACCTGGTCGGTATCGAAATAATAATATGTTGCACAAACGGAAAATACGACGCAAACGATAGGGGAAAGTTGTGAGAATGTGGTGATCTTGTGATGAGTTGTGCGACATCAGGGAGGCGGGTCAGAGGTAAGTAGTTGTCAGACGATTGGAATTTATTGGAGTAATGCAAGGACAAATTAGTATACTACGTGTATTAACTTCTAAACTATGTTTAATCGTATAGTATATGTTATTATATAGTAACGTTTAGGGGAACTACATCGGTTTATTGACGTTATATTAAATTAAACATTTTAACGATTGTATTCAATATAATTTATATATACATTCAGTATTAAATTATAAATAAAAAAACATTTTTTTTATTATTTTACTAAAAAGGAGCGTTATTTATATCGTCTAATGATTTACGAATGCGATTCAAAAATTAGTTCAGTCGTAGTTTAATTCTCAATGTCCAATTACAGTTAGGGTTGAGTCCTGGTCAATACAAATGTATTTATTTTCTGACTATCTATCTGATAAGAGCCACACCGATAACAAATGTAAACTCGATTCGTTTACTCTGTATGGCGTTAGATACACATTTACATATATATTGATATATATGTTCGTTGTATATTCAGAAATTATGGACGCGTTGAATTTTGAATTCGGTAAGTCCACAATAGTCCAGCCTAGTACCTAATACAGTTGTATGGATATATAAAATAAATTGTGTTTGTGTTGTGATTGTACCTCTGTGTGTGTGCTGAAGACGTTATTAATTTTTTATTTATCATTGGACATTTTTGACACAGTCGTCCAGTCCCAAACTGAGTTGAGCTTCTTTTTTTTTATTTTATTTTTTTATACAACTTAGAATGGCAAACAAGCTGACGGCACACCTGATGAAAAGTGGTAACCGTCGCCTATAGATATGAGCAGTACCATGGACATAACAGAGTATACTGTTTCGCCCATGATACCCCCCATGCGTTGCTATTCCTGAGGACTCAGGTTTTATTCCTCTGTACCCAGTAAATTAACGCCATATTCTACCTTTCAAACCGAAACACAGCCATGCAAACACAACTGCTTCACGGTTGAAACACGAATGGGACAGAGGTACCCAAGCAATCGACTTTTGTACAAAGTCTCCCTCTGGTATGAAATGTATTTATGTATTCTACTATGAGTACTAGTGAACTGATAGAAATACTTATTTGAACTTTTGTTTATAAATACATAATATAATAATTTGGTTATAATACATAGAAAACACCAAAACAAATATAACAGATATACTCATTAATATAAATATTGTAACTATTATATGAATCCTTTTTTCTACTTGATTAGCCATCCGACCAAATTCTTCCTGTGTAACAAACTTTTTGTTGCAACAAAACAGTGAAATCTAAGTGTCAATTTATTTACCGAGGCTGTCTAGATAAACGAGGTCGTCAATAAAAATAGACAAAGTTACGATTTCATTTATAACTGACTTAAAAAAAATTGAAATCTAATGTATTTTCTTAAATTAATTTATGTAGGAGTATAAACTAGCTACGCGACAATGCCCGCGTTATCTGCTTTTCACAGTAGTATTTCTAATAACTGTTTAATTTTAACGTTTTATACTGCATGGTTAGGTAGTTATTTCATTGTTTTCAGCTTGGTCTGAAAATAATTTAGGTAATTTAGGATGTTCTTCTTCGACTTCATAAAGATTGAGATTCTCTACTTGTCTGTGCATAAATTCTTGTACTGGTTATTGATAAATGAAAAAAAAAAAAACTATGTTATAAATTGGATAAGAAGCGAAATTTTGTTTCCCAACGTGTTCTCTCGTATTATTTTTCTTTATAACTGAATCTATTGTTTTTTTAATTACTCTTAGGTATTGTTAAAAATATATTATTTTCAATACGTTCATAATGAATTGTGTGTACCTAAAAATACAATCGTGGGATCCCGAATGACAGAGGCAACGGGCCGTCACATATTCAGCTATAATAATTATATATAAATTTATTGTTTACTTTAAAACAAATAATAAAAAATAATTTTTGACTGACCACGGACGCAATAAACTAAAATTATGTCATCAAAGGTTGAAATAAGAATAAAATTAAAATTTTATATTACAATTGATTAACGATGACATTCGTATTGTCCTTTGTCATTCGTATTTATTCAATATTATTTACGATTGTATACTCTATGTGTACCTAGTTATATTTTTTTATTACGAAGCATTTTAAAAAGCCAATGATTGATAGGTGCAAAAGAAACAAGCATGACGGTCAAACGTTTATTTCCTTACTTTCTGCATAAGAAAACAATGAATAATGTTTTGAGAGCATTTTTTTACGCTGCGTGCCACTTGCTCGTTGGGTGGCACTCAAAAATGGCATTGTTTGCAATTTAAAGGAGTCATGAATAACCATATCGAGTTTACTGCACTTGCTGACTGACTACTGATGTGGTTTCCATCGCATTTTGATTTTCTAATCTAATCGTTATTATATTTATAGCATAGAAAATTTATTAAAACAGTGTACAGAGCTCTTTAGTATTATATAGTAATATATTATTTGTGATATTACTAAGTACAGTATAATTATATCAATAGTCTCAATACAATCGACTATAGACAGTCTGCTAATACAAATAAAAAAAATATATTTTATATTTCTATTTGTTGCTAATTTAATTTAAAGAGTGTGTCTATGACAATTTTATTGAAACTTGGTTATCTTTTTATAAAGTTATTTTTATAAGGAGTGTGTACGGATACATTATTTATCTATGATTATTCTCATGATTATATTTTTGGTAATGATTGCACAAATTTTGAACTGTATCTTTACTGTCCATAACTAAAACAAGGTCCGTATTAAGCACAATAAATTTTAAATATATCTGCTAATGAGTCAGACAAGTCCAAATAAAAATTAACTGATATGACGTAATGATGTACATAAACATCTCAGCGTATTACTTTATTACAGAGTGTAATATTGTCTATTTATTCAGTCATTAAGATAAACTCATTTCACCAGATACTTTTGGATTCTTTTTATTTACTATAAGCAATATTAACAAAAACACAATAGCCTTTATTAACTGTTACAAAACGGGATAATAAAAATACTACCATGAAATCTAATGAATTAAAAAATTTGAAATGTTGTACATAAACTGTGCCAGAGTTTTTAATAATAATAATAATAATAATAATCTTTATTTGCTTAAACACGGTAAAGTTAAAGATGTTACATTTGTCAAAGAACATTCGTGCTTAGCTAACAAGGTGATAGCATGCAAAAATACATTTAAGGTTAACGATTAACATTTTGTTTTTTGTTTAAAAAGTCTTTTACATCATAAAAACTATTTATATTCAGCCAAGTATACAATCTCTTTTTAAATAAATTCACATTTAACAATTTTAATTCAGTCGGTATTTTATTATATACTTTTACACACATAGCTAAACAACTTTTTTCATATTTAGCTAGACGAGGAATGTCATCCAGCACGAGTCTATTTGGATTACGTCGATTCCGTGGATATATATCAGTAGCTTTCTTAAACAAATATTTATTGCTGTGTACAAACATACTAATTTCATAAATATATAGAGACGGTAGTGGTAACAAACCAAGCTTCCTAAATACCGGCTTACACGATTCGCGAGGTGAAAGACCATACAATGCTCTAATACATTTTTTTTGGGCAAGAAATGCTCTATCTTTTTCCGTACTATTGCCCCACATTATGAGTCCATATCGTAGTATTGATTGTATATATGCATTATACGTTGTGATTGCTGTTTTAATATTTGTTACGTTTTTAAGTCGTTTAAGAGCGTATACGAAAGTATTAATCCTTTTAGAAATGTATGCGATATGAGACTTCCAATCTAAATTTTGGTCTATGTTGATTCCTAAAAATTTTGTTTGCAGCACTTCTTCGATGTTCGCAACTTTTAATTTCAAACTCGTATTATTAATAGATTTATTGAATTGCATATATTTAGATTTATTAAAATTAATTCGTAAATTATTAAGACTTGTCCATTTTATTATTTTGTCAATTGTATTGTTAATTTGATTCTCATGATTCATAATAGTATTATTTTTCCTATCAGTAATCACAATGATAGAAATATCGTCTGCAAATAAGATACATTTATGGTCAAATATATTTGTAATGTCATTTATATAAAATAAAAATAATATTGGGCCTAACACACTTCCTTGCGGTACTCCATATTTATTAAATCTATATTCAGATGAGTACGATGTCATATTATTATTTTTGTCTATTTTATTACATACAACACGTTGTTGCCTGTGCGATAAGTAAGATTTTATCCACTGAAGAGCTGGCCCCCTAACTCCATTATTTTCTAATTTTTTTAATAAAAGGTCATGTGAAACAGAATCAAATGCCTTTGATACGTCAAAAAATAATCCTGTGGTCCAATTGTTATTATTGACATTAGTCATTATTATTTTTATAAGGGAATAAATGGCTAATGTTGTTGATTTCCGTTTTTGGAAGCCATATTGGTCTTTGCTAATAATATCATATTTATTACTGAACTCTATTAGCCTCTTATACATACATTTTTCAAATATTTTGGATAAAATCGGAATTAACGTAATCGGACGATAATTGTTAATATCATTCATTTTACCGCTTTTAAATATTGGCTTTACAATTGAAAATTTTAAAGAATCTGGAAAAGTTCCACTTGAAAACGATAAGTTAATTAGGTGTGTTAAGATCCCAACCAATTCATCTGTGCATGCTTTTATTATTTTTGTATTAATTTCATCATAACCTTCGGAGTTAGTATTTTTTAATGTCAGAATTTCCACTCTAACCTCATTTTCTGTCATTGGTTTAAGAAACATAGAGTTATTTCTTGAATTTTTAGGGTAACTACTATTTATGTTATTGCTTTTTGTGCTGCTTATGTGATCAATATACTGGTCATTAAATGCAGTTGCTATTTTTATAGGATTTGTTATTACTGTATCACCAATTTTAATAGTTTCTATACCTTTTTTTATATTTGTATTTGTGATTTCATTTTTTATAACAGTCCATGTCGCTTTGCATTTATTATC